TAGCCAGTAAAAATGGAAAAAAGATAATTCAGTCTTTGCTCTGGTGGGTAAAGAATTTACATGTTTCTGAATGACCCGTCAAAGCCGACATGCTTTGTATTGTCATGAGCTAGTTAACATGGATGCCTCCGGTCCTCGAGGGGCAGGTGTGTGTGTGTGGGGGGAGCTGTAACTGTACAGCCCTGGCACCGATGCCCTTCAGTGCACAGAGTGGACGCTTGGGCCAGGCAACCCTGACCGAAGGGGGTTGGTCACCTGTGGTGGGCGGCGGATGATTCCTAATGGGTCGGCGGTAAAGATATTTTATCTTTAGAGATCATTTGGCCAAAGCTAATGTCAAGCCACACCTTCTCCATAAAATTGAGAATGTAGGCCAGTCGAACGTGGGCTGCTTTGTTGTATTCTTTTAAAGACGGGTCCGATAGATTTCATCAAACACTTAACAAACGTTTCATAAGCACTTAGGACGCGGCAGGCATAGGTCCTCACCAATGAATGTCTATCTTAAAAGACAAGGCACTTCTCTGCACGAGGGAGGGCGGGAGCCGCGTACAGCCAGGCCTTGCACGGCTGTGGACAGTAACAATAAGGAAGCGCGGACTCACCGGAGCAGAGAGTCACACGCCCCGGGGAGCGCGCCAGGGGACTCAAGGGCATTTGACAAAGGGCAAGCGCGGAGTCTGCCTCGAGCCAGATCTCCCGCGTCTAATCCTGAACCTTTAAGAGCAGAACAGCAGTCCCACACGGCCGGCGGCTTCAGATAACCCCCGATGACACTGAAACAAGTGTGCGTCGGCCCTGGGCACTGGGGACAGAGCGCAGGCCTGGAAAAGCTGAGTAATTCCCAGTGACGCTCGAGGAACGCAGGGAATCTCGTCACCAGCTAGAATGCCGTAAACGTTAGTCACTATCTGATGGGCAGGGGGACGCCACCATGGTCTGAGGCTGCCAGGTAGGCAGGCGATGTCACGAGAGAATCATTTAGGGGACAGGCAAAGCCTTTCTGTCAGAACAGGATTTTGTACGGGAAGGGTTTCCTCGGCCGTCAGAATGCAGGAACCCACCTGGTTGGCAGGGGGCCGGGCACTTCCCTGCGCTGGTTACACAGGCAGTTTCACGTGGGTGTCCGTGAACGCACACCCTGCAGGTGGGCGTGGAGGACGGGTGGTTGGGGGTCTCTCAAACGCATTGGCAGGCAGAGGCTGTGTGTGTGTGTGTGTTTTAAATATATTTTTATTGATCTCAGAGAGGAAGGGGGAGAGAGAGAAAAACATCAATGATCAGAGAGAATCATGGATGGGCTCCTCCTGCACACCACCTACTGGGGATAGAGCCTGCAACCAGGCATGTGCCCTGACTGGTAATCTAACCGTGACCTCCTGGTTCATAGGTCGATGCTCAACCACTGAGCCACGCCGGCCGAGCGATAACGCTGTTCTTCAGGCTCAACTACTGAGCCATGCCGGCTGGGCTGGGTGTGCGATTTTTTATTAGGTCCTGCTGGGAACCACGTACTACGTGCCGACATTGAATAAGACCTAAATACGGGTAATCATAGTTCACATTGCCCTCTGCGTAGGGGACTGGAGTTTGCCAAGTGGCCTTCAACGATGGTGCCCAGGGTGTGGCAAGCTGACCACAGATGTTCCTGTCCTTCAATTTGGAAAGCCTTTTTCTTTCCTTGTTTTTAAGTGGCAGGGAAGAATATTTTTAGTGAATAAACTACTTGTAATTGCACAATGAAACGACACAGCCCATTCAATGACGCCTGTAGCCACTGACTCTCTGTTGGACACAATCGCCGGCTTTGTCCTTGTCACCCCTCACATTTTTCTCTCCGGGTAACAGAGCCGCCACTGTCTTCTTGCTCCCCGGCCACTTCATTTCGCTTCGCCCCAGTGTTCACTGTGCTCACTGCACGCCCAGAGCAGGACCCCATTCTCTGAAGACCATGTGCTAGCTGCATGCAGCACAGATACCCACAAGGACCTGCTAGTCGTGGGTGGTCTAAAGGGACGGAGCCACACCTGCCTCTGGTGGACGAGATGCACTGCAAGGCTGTGAGGCCGTTGTCTGGGGGGCGGTATGGAGCTCTCCGGGGAATGAGTGAGTCTGCGCCCCCGGCACACACACCTTCCTCCCTCACCATGAGTCTCTGCCCTTGCTCTTCCTTTTTATGTTGTGAATCCTCACCTGAGGATATTTTTTCGTTGATTTTTAAAGAGAGTGGAAGGGAGGGGGAGAGACAGAGAGAAACATCGATGCGAGAGAGACACATAGATTGGTTGCCTCCTGCACGCACCCCGACCAGGGCCTGTAATTGAGGTACGTGCCCTTGACCGGGAATTGAACCTGGGACCCTTCAGTCTGCAGGCCGATGCTCTATCCACTGAGCCAAGCCAACCAGGGCTGCCTTTCTTTCTTTGTGACCAGGACCTGTGGGATGGGTCACTGAAACCAACACCCCTCCCCCTTCCTTCCTTCCTTCCTTAGTCACATCCAGAGCCCAAGGTCTGTGTCCCCTCCGCGGGTGGTCTCATATTTATGTTTCAAGTTCCTTACACTGTTTTGAATGCAAAAGCACTTTGAAAAGTTAAAGGCTATAAAGAGAGGTGTTTTGAGAAGCTTAGAATTTCAAGACTTTTCTTTTTAGTACATTAATGTTCAAGTCATTGAACTGCTGCGAATCTGGTAAACCAGTGAGTTAAACAGGGAGAGCGAGAAGCATGCTGGGAATGGTTTGACTCCTGTAATTGCCGCGGATTCATTTCTTGAGTGTTTCTAGGCAACGGGGAATTTAAGAAGGAACAAATGGTGGGTGTTTTGTGTTCTCCCTTTTGGCCCTTTCCCGCGTTTCTCTCCCCTCTCATGTGATCCCAGGGGAGCGGCTTGTCTACGTTGCTGCAATGTGATGCAGGGCGTGGCTGGCTGGCTGTGAGGAGACGTTCCTCTCATTAAGGCACACGCTGTCCTGTGCAGGTCGATGGAGCCTTAGGTAGGGGTTCACCGTGGGCCGGAACGAGAATGAATTAAATTTGGCTAAACCATAACCAACAACAAAATCCGTTCACCTTTCTATTTCTACATCATGGAGTTCCATGTTGAAATTGAAGCTGGCCTGGCTGGTGTGGCTCAGGGGTTGAGCGTCAACCTATGAACCAGGAGGTCAGGGTTTGATTCCAGATCAGGGCACGTACCTGGGTTGTGGGCTCGATCCCCAATCTGAGGCATGTAGGACGCAGCCGATCCAGGATTCTCTCTCATCATGGATGTTTCTATCGAGCTATCAGCTGTTAAACTCTGTATACAGTTTTTGGGGACATCCTGTCTAAAGTGGCTAGAAAATAACTCCTCCTCCTCCTCCTCCTCCTCCTCCTCCTCCTTCTCCTCTCTCTTTCCCCGTGCTGTCTCTATTTTGTGATAACACTGATAATCCTATCGTATACCTGACCTTTCCGATTTTCCCCCACACCCTTTACCTCATTTTAAACCCAGAATCAGATATTTACATGACGATTGGTTAGATCAGAAGCTGCCGGCTGCACTGAGCAGGTGTGATGGGCAGGGGTGGGCCTGGGAAAGGAGGTCACTGCCTGTGCCCAAATCATTGGGGAAGTAGACGAGAGACAATGTTGTGAGGTCTTTCCACAGTGCCTTCTCCTCCCAGCACTGGGTGTGGCCAGGGAGGCCTAGGGGGTGTGAGGGGGGACAGCGGAAGCACACCTGTGGAGCTGTCCCCTGTCCTCAGGGGCCGGTGGGGGTTGGGGCTTCGAAGGCCTGTTGTTTGATCACCTGCCATGGGCCAGGAAGGTGCTTCTAGCTTCGCATCGGAGTCTGTAAGCTGCCAATCACTCTAAAGCAGCGGCTCTCAACCCTCCTAAGGCCGGGAGCCTTTCATACAGTTCCTCATGTTGTGGTGACCCCCAACCATAAAGTTATTTTCGTTACTTCATCACTGTAATGTTGCTACTGTGATGAATCGTCATGTAAATATCTGATATGCAGGATGGATTTTCATTGTTACAAATTGAACATGATTAAAGCATCATGATTCATCACAAAACAATATGTAATTATATATGTGTTTTCCGATGGCCTTAGGCGACCCCTGTGAAAGGGTCGTTCGACCCCCAAAGGGGCTGCGACCCACAGATTGAGAACCGCTGCTCTAAAGGCTATCGCTGCTACTATCTGCGCATGAGCACACCGGCGGAGTCACCGATCTGCACTTGACCAATCCCCCTAGGTTGCTAGGCGCAGGGGACACCTACCGCACCGTCCCCATGGTTCCCCTCGGGTGTGTTTCCCTATTTGCTATGAGAAATTTCAAACGGGAGACCCGACGTTGTCCCCACATGTGAGAACGGCCCTTCCCCCTGCAGCGAGGGGACTAAGTCGGAACACAGGCGGCTGGGAGCCTCCGCGAGGCCCTACCTGAGGATGCTCTGGTCCAGGGCCTGGATCTGCCGCTGGTCCTGCTGGTTCTGCCTCTTCAGCTCCTCTTGCTCCTTCCCGCCGCCGCCGACGCCGTCCAGCAGCCAGCTCTCCCGCAGGGCCTTTTTCTGAGTCGGGGACACAGAGACGTTTCCTTAAAGCAGAGCCCCCGGCCCCTGACCCCTCTCACATCTAGGAGTTTCAGCACGGGCACACTTCAGAGAGAAAGCATCCTCTCTCACCCCCTTGCCCGAATAAACCTGGCCTTTTCCTTCTTTGCAGCCTTCTTTTTAAAAAATATATTGTTATTGAATTCAGAGAGGAAGGGAGAGGGAGAGAGAGAAACATCAATGATGAGGGAGAATCACGGATCGGCTGCCTCCTGCACGCCCCCTGCTGGGGATCAGGCTTGCAGCTGGGGCCTGTGCCCTTGACCAGAATCGAACCCAGGAGCCTTCAGTCCATAGGCTGACACTCTATCCACTCAGCCAGACCAGCCAGGGTGGTGAGCTGGAATGTTGTCCACTTTACCAAAACGAAGGAGATTTCTGTTTCACTGTAAGGAAAGGAACTCCCCTGGAACCTGCAGGAAGAACTGTATCCTGAGCCCGAGCCCGAGCCTGAGGAGAGGGAAAGCCGATGGGAGAGGCTTTCGCCAGCACCCTGTCCGCGTCTCCCGTAGCAACAGCTGGATAGTATTTTGAAAGAGTTTGCGTCCCCCCTTTTCTTCCCGAAGCAAAATGCGTCTCTGTGTGTCTAGCCCCGCTGTCAATCACTCGCTCAATAATATTCCACCGGGACCCACTGTGTCCAAAAGGGTGAGAAGAGGAGAAGGGGACCTTTCCCTTATTTCCTGGGACGTCTCTCTCCACCGCACACGAGAACCAGGAAGAGGGACTTTTGTTTCTTTCCAAAGGATGCTAGGATGACGGCGGCGGGAATGTAAATGGGTCTGAATTTTCAAAAGAAAGTTTAAATGAGGTTGTGCTAGATAGTTACCAAAGGACGGTTACTTGAAGGCAATTGTTTTCACAGTGTTGAGAAATATGGCACTGATGACGGGTGAACGTGGTGGGAAATGATAGCTGGCAGGATAGAGGAGGCCTGGCCTGCCCCGAGGGGCGCGGTGGGCGGCCTGGGAGCCGGGGCGCACGGAACACCCTTTGCAAACCACGTGGGCGAGCGACGCCCTCCTCCCAGGTCACGGTGTTCGCGTTGACCTCTCAGAGTTCAAGGGCATGTGGACAACGCGCCCAGCAAGCCAGAGCGTCCTCTCAGCCTCTAATTATAGCCGCTGAGCTGCTGTGGAAACGTTTTCCCGCAGACACAGTCCGTGTTATCCCCACAGGTCAGGGCTGATCTCCCGAAGTCCAGGACGCCCCATGGGCCTGCGTGTGCCGCCTTTTTAAAGAATTCACCTGGACTTTAATTTGCTTTCATTTGGTGGACGATGGTGCCCAGTAACGCAGAGGCGGTCCCTGTCAGAGGGCGTTGCTGCCCTTCCCAGCCCCCTCGCAGGGGAGTGCCAGCCGGTCACGTGCGGCCCCGTCACTGCCCGGCCATGGGGACGGGCTGGCCCGTGACGCTGGCGGTACACGGAGAGCAAGCTTGTGGCGTGATCACGGCAGCGAGGGGCTGCCTTCTTGGCTCTCAGCCTGGCGGGGAATGAGAGTGATTTTCCTTTTAGCCGCGTAAAACGTGGTGCGTCACCCACACCTCGCCATTTCCCCTGGCAGAGCGCTCGTCGCAGGAATGGAAGGCCTATCGTTTGGATGAGCAGTCAGAATGCCGCGGTGCCATATTCTAGTAATAAGAACAGTTATTTTGCTTTTATGTCCCGAGTCAGACTTAAGCATACGAGGTTAATGAACATATAGGCTCCATTTCACAGTGACATTCAGAATCAAAGGCATATTAACTACATGAAAATGTAAGTGGTGTGGGAGTCAGACATTTTGGCAGTTAAAGAATTATATTTGCTTACATTTTCCGGTCACTTTGGGCAGTTTTTTTTCTTTTTTAAATATATATTTTTTCAGAGAGAAAGAGAAAGGGAGAGCGATAGAAACATCACTGATGAGAGAGAACCATTGATGGGCTGCCTCCTGCACACCCCCAACTGGGGATGGAACCCAAAACCTGGACATGTGCCCTGACCGGGAATCCAACCGTGACCTCCTGGCTCATAGGTCAATGCTCAACCACCGAGCCACGCAGTCGGGCTGGGCAGTGTCTTAGGGAAAGGTTTCCCGAAGCACTTCTACGTCCTACACTTCATGGCACAGACGTTGGGAATCCATTTGTTTTTCAAGCCATGAATTTGATGGACTCCCAGAAAAGAGACATCTTCTAGGTTTGGTGTATTTTATGTGTCTCTGTGGCTTGAGGCTCTGACCAGGAAGCTTGGCAAGATGACCCACAGGGCAGGCCCGGGTGTCAGGACGCTAACAATTTCCCCGGGAAAGCTGCCCGCCCAGCATGTGGTCGGGGTGTTTGCAGGGCCTGGAGCGAAGGGGTGGGAGTGAGTGCCCGCAGCTCTTGCCATGAGTGTGCTTCCTGTGTGTGCACCTACGGCGCTTAGGGTGGTGGCTGCAGCAGACTGACCAGGCCCGCGGTCAGCGAGGTGGGGCGGGTGTCCCGGGCGCGGGAACAGGTGGTGAAGAAGCCAGTGAAAGGGACACTGGTTACGGCGGAGGCCAGCGCGCTCTGGGCGGGGTGTGCCTGCTCCGGGAGAGGTTTTCAAATGCTCGCCCACATTCCTGAGTGTGCTCTGGCGGGGTGCCCGGTGGCCGCTGGGTCAGCCAGCCCTTTCCGCAGCTGGGAGATGAGCCTGCTCCCCAGATGCCCTTTCCTCCCGCCCCCTCGCCTCCCAGGCAGGCTCATGGCGGCACAAACGCCTCACAGGTTGCGTGGCAGCTTCCACGGTGAGGGCTCAGGCCGGACCGTTTTATACTCTTTGGAAGCTTTGGCGAGCGTCCAGCTTAGTGCCTGGCACATAGTAGGTGTTTAAGAAATCGTTACTGTCCCGGCCGGTGTGGCTCAGTTGGCTGAGCGTCGTCCCGCACACTGGGAGGCTGCTGGCTCTACTCCTGGTCAGGGCACAGGCCCTGCTTGCAGGTTCGGTCCCCCGTCTGGGTACGATGGGAGGCAACTGATCCATGTGTCTCTCTTCTCTCCCTCCCTCCCTTCCTCTCCCTCCTCCCTCCCTTCCTCTCTCTCTAAAAATATCAATAAAAACGTTAAGTAAAAGAGATATTTACTGATGGAAAGGCCCGATGTGCGCCTACATCAATTCTACTGAAGAGTCAGCTTCAGACCCACATCCACAGAACCCTGTTACTGCTTATTCTTATATTTAAATTAAAAATCATCATCTAAGTTCTCCTCATTATTTACTTCATCTGGAATTTCCCACTAGGTTGCAGGCAGAAGGCCTATAGCCCACCAGGGCCATGCTGGTCTCCATGGCATTAATATGCAGATGAGAAGGGCGGTTCCCCACGCCCACCCCTTTGGGTCAGTGCGCAGCTCTGGGGGTGGACAGCCCCCCGCAACCCCCGGTGCAGAGACAGAAGCGGCCGCAGGCCGTGGTGCATGTGGGGGTGTGGCAGGGTCTCAGCAGCCCCCACCCGACCGCTTCCTGCTCGGGCTGCTCAGGGAGCCCAGGTTGCGGCCCGGTGGCCTCCAGTGGCAGGAAATGCTGAGTCGCAGCTGCTTTAATTACAGCGGCCACACCCACGGGAGAGGGAAAGTCTGATGTTAAAATGGAGCTGTATTTTGGGTTATGATCTCATGTTCCGTCCAAAGAAAATAAAACAAAGACCCAAACCACTCTCAGCCAACATGGCGCCCACTGGGCTGAGCTCTCAGGCCCCGCGTCCTTTGTGGGTGGGCCGGACCGGGTCGGGTCTGGCCCCTGGGGAAGGGCGGGCCTGGCCTTCGTGGATGTGAAAAGGGGGCTTCCTCGTGGCCCCGCCCCCGGGATGGTAAGCAAGGCCGTGTCCTGGGCCAGATGCCAGGGCTGAAGCCTCCCTCCCTGCGTCCAGGCACCTGAGGACACTCAGGGGTAAAGGCTGACCAGTGAGAAGCCAGGCTCAGTTCTGCACTTGCTGCCGGGAAGGCGGACGTCACTGCTTGTCGGCCTCTCCGAGGCCAGGAGGGTG